TGTTTTGGGATTGCACCCAAGGAGCCTATGACTATTGGTACTACCCTTGCTTGCTTTTGCCACAGTCTTTCTATTTCTATTTGTAGGTCTTTGTATTTTGTTATCTTCTCCAGTTCTTTCTCTTCTATTCTGCTATCTCCAGGCACTGCCACGTCCACTATCCAGACTTTTTTGTCTTTCTTATCGACAATTGTTAAGTCTGGGGTGTTATGTTGCAGGTGCTTGTCTGTTTGAATTCTGAAGTCCCAGAGCAGTTTAATTTTATCATTTTCTATGACTTTCTCTATTTTATGATCCCACCAGTTTTTGCTTACAGGCAAATGATATTTTTTGCAGATCTTCCAATGCACCATTGTTGCTACTTTGTCATGCCGCTGCTTGTAATCAGTCTGTGCAATCTTCTTGCAACAGCTTACCAAGTGGTCCACTGTTTCTTCAGCTTCTTTGCATAGGCGGCACTTACTGTCTGTTGCTGTCTTCTCAATTTTGACTTTGTATGCATTTGTCCTTAAGGCTTGGTCTTGTGCAGCCAGAATTAGTCCCTCGGTCTCTTTCTTCAATTTTCCTGCTCTTAGCCATTGCCAGGTTTTATTATTATCTGCTTTCCCAGCTATTTTTTTCATGTATTGGCCATGTAGTGCTTTGTCTTCCCATGCCTCTATTCTGTTCTTCATTTGGTCTTTCTTGTAGGCCAGTTTGGTCTCTCCAGTAGTTAGTAAGCCTTCCTGATATACTAATTTCAGTGCATCTTCATCATTGTTCTTCAGATATTCTTCCAAAGCCATTTTTTCTTCTTCAACCATCTGATGTACTTGTAGCATTCCACGCCCACCTATTTGCCTTGGTAGATAAAGTCTATCAATGTCACTGCGTGGATGAAGGGCATGATTCATTGTCATTATTTTTCTGGTCTGCCTATCCATTGCTTTTAGTTCTGCTTGAGTCCAGTCCACTATTCCAGCTGTGTACCTAATGACTGGGATTGCCCAGGTGTTGATTGCCTTTATGGTATTTCCTCCATTGAGTTTGGACTTTAAGATCTTCTTCACTCTCTTGATGTATTCACCTCTAATCTTTTTCTTGACTTCAGTGTGCTTGATGTTGTCAGCTTGAAGGATACCCAAGTATTTGTAGTACTCTTCCTCATCCAGACTCTTAATGTTATTTTCGTGGGGCATCTTGATTCCTTCAGTTTTCATTATTTTTCCTTGTTTGATAGTAAGTGTGGCACATTTGTCCAAGCCAAACTCCATTACAATATCTTGGCTATATATACGGACAGTGTTGAGCAGCGATTCTATTTCAGATGATGTTTTTCCATACAGCTTCAGATCATCCATATAAAGGAGGTGGGATAGTCTGGCAGATGTTTTTGATGTTTGATAGCCATGTCCTGAGTTATTCAGTATTGTTGACAGAGGAAACAGTGCAATAACAAATAGTAATGGTGATAATGAATCTCCTTGAAATATTCCTCTCTTGATATTAACCTCTCCCAGCCTCTCACCATTGATCTGCAACTGTGTCTTCCATTGTGCCATCGATCTTTGCACAAATTTTCTGATGTTTCTACTGACTCCTGTTATTTCTAGGCACTTTATTATCCAATCATGTGGCAGAGAGTCAAATGCCTTTTTGTAGTCAATCCATGCCACATTCAGGTTGGTCTTCCTTCTCTTGCAGTTTTCCAAGATCATTTTGTCTATTAGGAGTTGATCTTTTGTTCCTCTGCTGTTGGGGCGGTTTCCTTTCTGCTCAGGTGGAAAGAGATTGTTTTCAACTAGATGCTGTTGCACTGCATCAGCTACTACACCAGTTAGTAATTTGAAAGTTGTTTGGTAAGCAGGTAATTGGCCTGTAGTTACCTGGTGTTGCCCCTTTTGCTGGATTTTTCATTATTAGGTAGGTTTTCCCAGTTGTTAGCCACTTTTCAATTTCTCCTCCTTGTAGTATATTGTTGAACTGTTTGGCAATGAGTGGGTGTATAACAGTTAGATGTTTCAACCAAAACCCATGCAGTTCATCTTCACCTGGTGCTGACCAATTTTTGATTTTCTTTGCTCTTTTTTCTACCATTTTTGTTGTTATTACTAGTTCTTTCATTTCAACTTCTGTTTTATTTGCATCCACCTCTTTTAACCAAGCCGCATCCTTGTTGTATTTCTTTGGGTTATCCCATATCTGCTTCCAGAACTGCACTGTTTCTTCCTTGTCAGGTACTGACTGATTCCTTGCAGTTTCTCCATTGATGGATTGGTAGAAACGTTTCTGATTGGATTGAAATTGGAGGTTCTGCCTATAGTTTGCAATTCGAGCTTCATATCTACTGATTTTCCTGGCTATAGCTGTTATTTGTTGCTTTATTATTTCCAGTGCTTCCTTGATCTTCCTTGTTTCTAAGTGGTATTTCTTGATTAGGTATTCTTTGGTCTTCTTGTTCTTCAGCTTCTTTTCTTTCATCTGTTCTAGCTTGCTTGCATGTGATCTTAACTTGCTGATCTTATTTTCTAGTCTAACCTTCCATTTTTCTGGTGCACTGTTTGTTTGTTTTTCTTCTTTGTTGATTTTGCATCCCAGGTATTCTGTTATAACTGCAGCTGTGCTGTACATTAGTTGGTTTGTTTCTTGCAGTGAATTGGTGCTTATACTTGATATTGCAATATTTGCATCTTTTAATGCTTATGCTAGCTGTTTCTTTGGAACAAGCTTCAATGCAGGTAGCCTTATTCTGTTGTTTTTGTGCTGTTCTAGATGCTCAGTTATTCTTTGTTTCAATTCTTTTATTTCTTTAGTTAGAGGGTTTTGTTCTTCCTGAGGAAGAGGTGCCTGGTTTCCAAATGAGAACAGTTGTATATCTCTGCTGGATTCCTTCACTGCCAACTCCCCCTGGTTTGCCTCTACATTCTGAATTACTTCTGGTAAGGCTTTGATTTCTTTGCCCTGGGTAAACCTTTGCAGTTCGTCCAATTCTGTTTCTGTGAATATTTTATTTCGTGTTATAAATCGGCGTTGATCTGCTAGTCTCTGTTCTGTTATTTCTGATTCTGGATGTTGTTCTTTCCAGAATTGGTGCATTCGTTTTAGATATCCTCGTCTTGTTGGACTTGATCTGTAGTAACAGATCATTATTTCTTTGTTTTCCATCACTGTGTATCTGCGACGGGTAAACACCTTTTCTTCCAGTAGTTCTGCAGCTGCTGGCCCTGGTTGCTCAGCCAACAGTCCTGAGTCCTGTAACCCATTTTTCACCAGATATCCAGGAACTCCAATATCTAGTGCGGACCTTGTTAACCCGGGCGACGTCCGAGCCGGTATGGCATTCTGAAATTTACGTCTCACCATATTTTTTATGGGAGAGACACTCTTTGTCTGACTCCTCTGATGAGACCTGTCCAGTATGGTTGAACCTCTGGCATAGCTCTCATCTTCCTCAGAGTACACAAGCCCCACAACCACGTCAAGGTAGTGCCTCACTGGGGGGTTATTATTATTATTATTATTATTATTATTATTATTATTATTATTATTATTATTATTCACAGCCAGATGTTCAAACTGGATTTGGCATATTATTATTATTATTATTATTATTATTATTAACAACAATAACAATAATAATAATACAGGTAATCCTGGAAGTACAACTGTTATTTAATGAACTTGAAAAATTACAACCAATTCCCCCCCCCCTGAAAAAGCTACTTATAATCCCATTTCAAAATTACAACCACTACAGTAGGCCTGTGGTCATTCACCCTTACGATCCACCATAGGGTCCCTTCAGAGCCCTCCCATCTCTCTCCCCCCCCCATTCCACTCATCCCCACAAGGAGGGTAGGCCAAGTGTCCCTAGATCCAAATGCAGCTGCCATTTTGTCCCTGCTCATTAACCGGTTGAAACAAAATGGTGGCTGTCAACAAACTGATTCATTTTTCTGCCTTAGAGAGGTGCGCAAATGGGGCCACTAGCACCTGTGAAGGTTGTACAGCTGGATTGCACCTGCACACAGGGGCTAGCAGCAGTCCTGTTTCTGCATGTACGCGCATGTGCACACGCACGAATTCCCCAGCTACTCCCTTTCCCTCCCGGCTGCCAGCACAAAAAGGTTGGTGACCTCTGCTTTAGTTGGTGTTGGCCTTCATATGCAAAAGTTTTATTTTACATCCTATATTATATAACATCTGTTAAAAAAACTCTCATAAAAAGGTCATTTATGGATTTAGAGTTAGTTATAATAATATGCTGATGATATGTGACTGTACTTTTGCTTCTGTGAGACTTCCAAGACTAGGTATATTGACAGTTCCTAATTTCACAGGAGTGAAAAGGAATGCAGATGAGAAAACAAACTGTAGCTGAATTTGGACAAAGTTGTTGTGGTTCTGGGGACTAGACTTCAGGATTTCAGAAATGTGCCAGAAAATGATATAGTCACTTTTCCCTTTAATGATTAAATTCAGAGCTCAGAGATCCTGCCATATCTGGAACTGAGGCTATACAATCATGCAGTACTAATACAATCTGAAGAAAAATCAATGTCATGGCTCATGTGCCCCTTTTGGAGAAAATCTATCTGGCATGAGTGACTGGTTAACTTCAGAATTATATTATTCCTTTTGAAGATGGTCTAGAAATTGCAGCTGGACAAAGCTCTGGCAGGATAGGTGATAAATAGTGCTTTCCAACAATACCACAATACCTCCATGCCAAAATAATTGCACAGGTTATGAGCTACACTTTGCACTTTGTGAGCTGGTCTTTGAATTCAATGTACCCTGCTCATTATATGTATAAAGATTAATATGGTTTGGGCATGTTATTTTACAGATCCTGCTACATTTTTGGCTAACATTAAGAACTACTTCCATTTTCTTCCATGCATATTTTCCATAGCTTAACCTAAATAAAAGGTCATTATAATTACATGCTTTTTTTTTTTGCCTTATATCCCACAATCACAATCAGTACGGTAGTTCTTTTTTGAGTGCTGAAAACTCACCACGCTTTGAGAAGATGACACTTTCATAGTTTCTGACACAATTAGGTGCTTTTTGCCTGCTCTCAATAGTTTAATCTGCTTTCTAGGAGAGAAATATAAATATAAATGCATATATGGATGGATGGATGCACACATGTACATATACATACACAAATACAATATACAAACACTTCCATAAAGTATATTTATATCTATAAAAATGAATCAAAAATATGAACGATTTATGTTGAAAGACTGGAGACTTAATGAAGTCTGTAAGGGTAACTAGAAGTTCTGAATGTGAAATAGACCATTATTTGGTAGTATTGGCAGAATGCTAACCAAAAGGGAACAATGAGCAACATTTGGGAATCATGTGTGGATTTTGTGCCAAGCAGAAGAGGCACATTGAGAAATGTTTTAATATGAGAAATAAAATGTATTCTACATTTCATGATTAACAGAAAATGTATAATTGAGCAAATAGGCTTGAATTATAAAACATTTTGCATAGAATCTGGAGGTGAAGGTTGGTTGTTGAATGAAATAGAACAATCCTCCTGTTTTCATAATGCTCTTCCCCACACCCATCAATATCCACTATTATCCATACTGATATATTAGCTTCTTGTAAATAGTGGAAAAAACGGTGTGAAAACAATACTATTCATGGCTTTCCAGAAAACCTGGCAACAATGCCGAGGCCAATAAGACCATAGATATTTTCAGTCACCTAATCATAGCACCAATGTTACATCTACACAAGATGTCTATATCTGTACCTGTAGCAGACTAAGATGTTAAATACATATCCAATACATGTGATAGAAGCAATAACAGTAGTAATAATCCAAATTCCTGTAAAACAAATAACATAATTCAGAGATGATTCCCTCAAAATACTCACCACGTCCTAATGCAGTAGTCATGGTACGATACAAAATTACCAAATAGCCCATATATATTCTTTAGTCTCTTTTATCTTTGTTTCTTCTTTTTACATTGGGACATAGTTACTCATTAATTTCTTAATGCCTGCATCTTTTTGTAATTTTGAAATGTTATAATATTTTGTTTTTCGTTATCCGGTTATAGATATTCATCAATGCTAATGTTTAGGTTAGATCTAAGTAACATTCTGAACAATTCTAATTAGTCAGATGTGGTTTGTCAGCTAATGGAATAGATCTGGGCACATTCAAATCCAAGTCTACACTCACTGGTGCCTGTGGACCATAACTGCCATCTCTCTGTCCAATCTATCTCATGTGATTGCAGTGTGGGGAATGAGACAAAAGGAGGGAACACTATTCCTTAAAGAATGAGAGAATATTAATCTAACAAATATAAATAATGTAAATGCTGTTGTAAATGTTTTTTATGTCTTCCTGTTTGTCTAAACCAGGGATCTCCAAACTTGGTAATTTTAACTTCAACAGCATGGGTGGCTGCAGAATTCTGGGAGTTGAAGTCCCCAAGTCTTAAAGTTGCCAAGTTTGGTGACTCCTGGTCTACACTACAACACAAATGTGACTTTCTAAACCTGAAAGCTCCCTAATCAAATTCTTAAATAAAGAAAGGCCTGAACGATCAGAAGAAAAGATGTCTTGGATCAGCCCCATGGCTATCAGTCCACATTCGGTATCCCAGAGAAGTCAATCAACACATTCCAGAAACAAGCATCGACAAGAGTTTCTTCACCCACTGTGATTGCCTAGGAGTTGATGCAAAAAAATGTCTATTCTAACTCCCTTATCATTTATGTTGCCTTTATTTGCTCTTCTGCTGATGCAATCATTTCTAAATATCTTACTCGTGCTAGAAATGCCAAACAAACACCGTAGTCTTTTAGGGAATGCAAGGAATGAAACCTGCTAAGAGAAAAAAGCCTCCTGATCAACTAGAGGTTACAGCTCATTTTCAGGTCAATGCCTCAGCCATAAGGTTTGAAAGGCAATTATAGTTTGCTCCCAGTATTGCATCCACATAGAGCTATCTAAAAAAGAAAATATAAGAGGATCTATTACTTCAAAGACCAAGGAAATCTGATGAAAATAGTTCTGTTGAACATTTGAGAGATTTTTGCTAGTCATCTTGCAAGGCAAAAGGAAACCAGACTAATGGCGGCACCTAAACAGCAGAAATTTCTGGCACCAGTGAGTAATTACCTCATACTGTGCTATATCTTCCTGCGTTCATTCCACAATCTTTTTAATATAATTGCCATACATCTTAAAATACTGTATATACATTTTAATTATTCCGATACCATGAATATTGAAAAAAAGAATACATCCTCTTCCAGCTACATATACACATACATACATACATACATACATACATACATACATACATACATACATACTTTTCAGCTGGAAAATGCTCATACTGTAGGAAATCTGGATGGGAAAACTTTAGGAAAGAAATTTATCTTATATTTGGAGGAGCTGTCTATGAACTTATTTATTTGTATGACATTCACATTTTACACGCACACACAGAGAGAGACATAGAAATAATGCTAGTGTAATATAGTCTACCTAACCAGCAACTGAAGCCTCTGGGAAGGAGGGTCAATGGAAAATATAACATCTCCTGAGAAGTCAATGGATGACAGCCACTTTTCTACTCTACTGAAGAAATAGTGTCCTTCTCCTTTTACCTTATTTGGCTTAGTAAACCATGCTCGGTTCCAATAAGGAAGATGATTCTGCCAAAGACGTTTGTTCAAGTTCAATTTTAGAGACATGAGGTTCCAGCCCTTCAAAAAGGGCATTTTCCAACCTAGTTTCTCCTCCTCCCATTGAGGAAAGAAAGAATGGATGTACAAGATATGTTGGCTGGTTTTTTTTTTCTTCAAGCACTATCAAGTTTTTGTTTAGGGGCTACATTATTAGAAGTTGGTCATTCTCTTTTTCAATACACTATACCACTCATGGAAAAGTAATGTTATATTCAGAAAATATTATGCCTTTACCTTCTACGACATGGATAAACTCTTCAAAGTCATGGATCCATGAATCATTTTCCAAATTTGGAATGTTTTTTTTAAAGAGCCCAAGCACGTCTTTGAGTGTGTTCAAAAGCAAATTGGCCGCAAAATTTTCTATCACAATAAACTGAAAGAGAAATGAAAGATACTGATGGATAAAGTCTGAAGTGAAAATTATAGGATAATATAAGATAATAATAGATACCTTTAGGGATTCCCATGAGGTCAGAATCCATTCTCAATTGACCTATAGACCTTCACACCTACAGTAATTTAAGTTGGGGGAGATCTAGTATTAGCTAAAACCCTCAACAGGGTTAAATAGCAGGGGAGGAATTTCCTGGAGACTTTTTATATTTTCTCCCAGAAACACAGATTTGCTATGGGCAAAGAAAAAAAATAGATCTAAGCTCTCCTCCACCCTATATTTCCTAGATCACAGGAGGGGATCCAACCCATGCAGACTTCTAAAAGTATTGAGAACTTGATAGAGCAGGGGTGTCAAACTCAATTTCATTGAGAGCCGCATCAGCATTGCGGTTGCCCACGGGGGGCAGGTGGGTGTGGCCAGGGTGGGTGCGGCCGACTGGGTGGGTGTGGATGGAGTGGGTGTAGCCTACTGGGTCGGCATAGCCAGCTCTACATCGTTCGCGTCAAGGGTGCCTGTCGGGGCCTGGGCAGGAGCGGGACAGATCTGAGGGTCTCTGGCAGAAGGGGGTGGGACCAGGGCAAGCACCAAGGCATGGTCCATTTCTTCATTCCTCATAAAGGACGACACCTCCCCAGGATGCACCCAGGGGGCAGGGCCGATACAACAGGGGCTGGTTCCTCGCTGTTTCTAGACGGCCTTTGGAGCTAAAACTGAATGTTTTCCATCATAGATGACCACCACAAAATTGTATATTGGCTCCCGGTCGGCCTGGGCCAGGGCCAAGGCAGCGGGGGCCATTCCCTCACTGTTTCCAGGATGGCTTCGTGGGTCACATGAAACCACATCACGGGTCACATCCGGCCCCCAGGCCCGGTGTTTGACATGTCTGTGATAGAGTGTCATTAGTCTTGATTTTATTTTGCATGTGCTCAGGGCAAATCATGCAAAATTAGCTTCTTCTCTGGGTTCATCATCTTAATCATCAACATAGATGGAATTTCCTTTGTTGATTAAGAGAAAATGTTCCTTTGTTCATACTTCTCTTTATGGGGGGTCTAATCCTTTCTTCAAGTCTAAAACTTATTTTTATTTGCTGTTAACATACCCTAAACACTAGTTTACAAAGACATTTTTGGTGCCAATTTTTTTGTACATGTCATGAGACCTATGTCTCTCTAGATAGGCTCATTCTGCCCTTGTGGTCCACAACTAGCAGAAGGGGGAAACTCTCAAGTCCCTGAAAGAACGCTGCCTTTCCAAGAGGAGGGGGGAGTGTTACTTGGGGATTGAAGATGTTTCTTCTGTCAGTTTGATGTATCTACATGGGAATTGGGGAGGGAGAAATGGTTGGGCTCGTTTCTGGCTAACTCCTGTGTGTTAACAAGGCCATGGCGCCACAACAACACCAGTGGATCGGTTCTTGATGGACTGGGGCAATGGGTAGGGTTTGAACAGTGGGAAATTAGCTTAATGTTTCACGCAGGAACATCAGATTCTGCCTGACTTCTCTGCAATTTACACTTTCTCTCAGTAAAACTTCCTTTTGAAATAATGCTTGTTTCAAGAGTCATGCTTTCCTGAGAAGATAGCTGAAGCAGGATCTTACATTAGGCAGAATCTGCAAAGTGGTCAACCTGGAAAGGCACCTGCCCTACCGCGGGGACTGTGCAATGTCTAACCAAGGCAGCGACCGGAAGGAAACCGAATGCTGGGGAGAAGCTTCATCTAAGGCTGATTCCCGGAATGAACTCCACCAGATGGACAGAGGACACTTCCAGCCTAAATGACTCATCTAAACCGAGATGGTCCATAGGTATGGGGAAGAGAAACGATTGGAAAGGGAGAATGAAAGGAGTCACCCTTACCCAAGGCAGCCGCTGTAAAGGATAGAGAGAGAAGTTGGAGGCAATGGACAATGAGGGGCAAGGAAACAAACCCGACCATGCCGACCTCCTCATGAGGCAGGCAATGCACTTCACAATGGAGGTATTCCAGAACCTATAGGCGCAAGATGGGGACAGCAGCCAGCAGGACTGATCAGAGAATGGAAGGGGGAAACCCTCACCACAGAGTGCACAATGGGGGCAAGCAATGCAATGGCGGGAGCAGCAGCAGCACCAACGGTGTCTCCAGAAAGGGATTCCAGGGGAACCAACGATCCAAGAGTTGGCAACAGTGGGGCTCACCAACAGGACCAAAAAACACCTCCTCGTGCATGAAGTTTGATGGAGACCCAGAGCAGCTTGGGTTCTTTCTAGCTCACATCCTTACGTGCATGCAGGAGTACAGCCATGAGATTCCTACTGAGGGAGCCAGGGTCAGAATTGTCACCCTAGCACTAGAGGGAACCTCAGCCAATAGATGGTGACCCTCCACAAGGCGAACACTCTGGAGCTGTGGAATTTCAATCAGTTTATGACAGCCCTGAGATGGCGATTCAAGGACTCCCTGGCCAACTGAAAAGCCCATGATTGCATAAAGATGGAGCCACAGGGACGCTGCCCAGTAGCTGAATATACCAAGGAGTTTCGAGATCTGGCATGAACCTCGACTGGCCGGAAGACATCCTTGTAAGTTGCTTCAAAGGTGGGCCAAACCGTGACCTGTACAATGCTTGCATCTCAAGAGAGGCCCCAGTATGCCTCCATGATTGGTGCGTGTTGGCTGAAGAAGCAAAGATTGAGCAAGCGCAAAATAAGTACTGCTTCAGCAAAGTCTGGAAAAGGTCACCCCCGGAGAGGAAGAGGGAAGCAGCCAGGCCTCAGTCCCAACAAGTGTGTTCCACCACCTGTTTCAAATGCAGGAAAGAAGCCCAGCAAGCAGCCAAATGCAGAGCAAAGACCCTGGTAAAGAAGAGAGACCAGGCACCACATAAGAAACCAGCGAAGCTGCATTCCGGCATGAAGGAGGTAGCTCTGATAAGCACAGAGGTTGTGGCATTCACCCCCTCACCCAAATGGAGGGGGAGAACTCCAACCCCACCAGAGGAAGACTGAACAATTTTGGGTCATATGGGAGAAGGAAACGTATGGTGTTAAATGGGCCCGTCTCTCCTGGAGACATTTCCTAGAGGGGAGTAAGATCCCATTCCAGGTCTGGACAGATCATAAAAATCTGGAAGCATTAAAAACCCTTGGAAGCTGTCCCCTAAGCAAGCATGATGGGCTCAGCACTTCCAATATTTTAATTTCATCCTGTGCTATTTACCAGGGGGAAGAAATTCTTGGCAGATGCTTTGTCAAGAATGCCACAATAGCACTAAGATAGAAATAATTATTCCTATTATGTCAGCTGGCAGCCCAGATGATCACAAGGGTGCAATGAAGGAAAAAAACACCCATGGACAATACTACAGCAGAGGATTTTAAGAAAGCATTAGAAAGAGACGAGTTGTTCAGCAGCAACAAAAAAATTTGCTCTGCGCAAGACAGACTGGCTTAGGTAGATAAGAAACTGGACGTACTTACCAGTCAGAGACTAAAAACCATGCAAATCTGCCACAACTGTAAATTAGCGAGACACTTTGGGTTTGTGAAAACCCTGCGTCTCCTCAAAAGACAGTTCTGTTGGCCCTCACTCAAAAAAGACATTGAGAGTTATGTTTCCAGCTGTCCGATATGCGCAGCAGCAAAACGGAGGCAAGGGAAAACACCAGGGCTTCTTCAAACCATAGCTGAGCCATCAGCACCATGAAGAGAGATTTCCATAGACTTTATTGTAGAACTTCCCCAAAGTGTGGGAAACATTGTAATCTGGGACATAACTGACCTGTTCTCCAAACAAGTCCACTTTGTTTCCTGCCAAAAGATTCCCACAGCTAAGGGATTAGCAAAAATGCTCTTGCACCATGTGTACCGCCTACCTGGAGCACCACAATTTATCATCTCCAATAGAGGGGTTCAATTCACATCAAAATTTGGGAGAGCCTTTTTGGACCTGTTAGGTACTGACCAAGGACTCAGTTGTAGTCATCATCCACAAACAAATTAGGGGACAGAATGAACAAACTGAGTTCTAGAGCAATACCTTCGCTGCTTCATCAACTACCAGTAGGACAACTGGACTGATCTCCTGTCTTTTGCCAAAGTAGCATACAACAACACTGTACACACCAGCACAAGGTTCACACCTTTCTGAGTAGCAACAGACCAAGATTTCAACCCGTTGTCTGAATTGCCAATTAAGGACCCAGCCATCCGTTCTTTAAAAAATACCTGGCTAGTGGTGCGCAAAGTCCTTGCTGAGGCTAGGGCAACTTACAAAGCTCAGGCCGACAAAAAGAGAGTGGAACTTAAATCAATCCCACACTGGGGACCGCATGTACCTGTCTACAAGGTTCCTTCAGTCCCTACAGCCTTCAAAAAAGTTAGAACCAAAATTTGTACGGTCTTTTCCCATAAAGCAAATCATCAACCGAGTCACAGTAGAATTGGAGTTGCCTAAGTCATTGAGGAAAGTCCACCTATTTTCCACTGCAGTCTATTAAAACTGGAGGTTATTTCACCTTTAAGGCCAACACCCTCTCCGATACCTAAACCTCTTATGGTGGAAAGGGAACAAAACTTTGGGATCAGGGAAATCGTCAATTCATGCACACATAGGAGAGTCACCCAGTACTTAGTAGCATGGAAATATTTGAGCAGACTGTTGTTGATATATAGCCTTGAGAGCATATAAAAACTTATCTCCAAAATTCATTTTCTCTATAAGTAAAAATAAAACTTGCCAATCTAATTGATCAAAATTTTAAAAGAAATACCTCCAAAAATTTTAAGAAAAAGAAAAGATTTTACTTTTTTATCTGAGGAGTTCAAACGTCGTCAAATTCAGTTCAGATGGGAGATTCCAGCTGGGATAGTGGTGAATTATGCAGGAACGCATTATAGATTAAATACAGTTTTAAAGGCAAAAGATTTTTATTCCTCCATTCTGAAGGCAGGTTCGCCCTTATCTCTGCAAGCAAGTAAAATTGAAGAAGAGCAAATAACTGGAGGTGCGACTTCATTGATTGTTAGAGAATCACAAGCGGAACCTGCTGCACAGACTCTGGAGATAAAAGAACAAAGGATGACCCGTGCTGCGCATAAATGTAGAGAGAAAGATCAGAAGCAGAAGACCAGCGAAATAACAGAAGGAACCACTACTACAGAGCCTGTGGGAGGAGCAAGACCAAAAAGATCTTCAACAGCTGATCTTCAAGTTATGCTTCAGAGGCTTCAGGCCGCTAGAGATGGCAAAGTTTCTGACATGGAATGTTAATGGCCTGAACTCACCACAGAAAAGAAAAAAAGTATTTCACTATCTGAAACAACACAATAATGATGTAGTATGTTTGCAAGAGACTCATATAACTTTGAAGGACTCTAAATATTTGATAAATTCTCATTTGGGATCGCATTTTATAGCTTCAGCTCCAGGGAAAAAAGGGGGAGTTGTAATTTATGTGAAAAAAAACTTATCGGCTAAACTAATTGACTCTGATTCTCAAGGAAGATATGTTATTATTGACTTAGTACTACAAGGAAAGAAATTCCTTATTGTTGGATTATATACTCCTAATCAGCAACAGAAACAATTTTATAAGTTTTTGCATGGAAAAATAACTCAATTGGATTATAAATCTGTTATTTTGATGGGAGATTGGAATGGAATTCTGAATTCAAGGAAGGATAAAAAGGGTTCTTTTAAAACTTTTAATCAAACTAAATTACCCAAAGCTTTTTTTTTTATATGAAAGATGATCTGGAACTCATTGACATTTGGCGAGAAAGGAACTTAAATGACAGAAACTTTACCTTTTATTTGGACAGACATCAATCATTCTCTAGGATTGATTTTTTATTAATTACTACTGATCTTTTTTCCAGGGTTAAAAAGGTCAAGATTTTTCCTAGGACATTGTCTGATCATAGTCCTGTGTGGTTGGAGCTATTCGTGGAAGATGGGAATAGAAGATCTTGGAGATTGAATGAAAATTTATTTACAGGGAAGAGCTTGTACAGAAATGTAGAGAACATTTGAAGGAATTTCTTGTCTTAAATATGAATAAGGGTACTTCAATGTCTATGGTGTGGGATGCTAGCAAATCTTATATGAGGAGAATTTTGATTTATATGAATAATGCTCTTAGGTCTAAATTGACACAAAAACGTAAAGAAATAGAAGAAGAGATTAAATTAAAAGAAAAGGCTTTTATCTTGAATCCAACGGATAATAAGTTAAAGGCTTCTTTAAACATGCTCAGGGCGCAATTTAATATTGGCAGACCAGGTTGCAACTAATTTGCGCTATATGAGACATAATACCTCTTGCAATGCAAATAAACCTGGGAGGTGGTTGGCTTATCAATTACGTAAGAAACAGAAGGCAAGAATTATAGAGAAAGTAAAATACAAAAGTAGTGAGGTTTATCAACAGAATTTGATTAAAAAGAGTTTTTTAGATTTTTATACAAAATTATATGCTAGCGACAATATACATGCTTTAGATGTAGAGAAGTATCTACAATCAGTATATTTTCCAAAACATTCTAATGAACAACAAAATGTGATGAATTGTTTAATTACTTCAGAGGAAATTGGTTTAGTTATTAAGCAGTTAAAGATGGGTAAGGCCCCAGGTACAGATGGACTAACGGCAAAGTATTATAAAATGTTATCTGAAGAGATGATAGAGCCATTAAAAGAACTCATTAATAGTATTTTGTTGGGAGCTCCGGTTCCCCCTTTTATATCATTGATCCCAAAGGAGGATCAAGATCTTACTGAGCCTAAGAATTATAGACCTATATCTCTTTTAAATACAGATTATAAAATTTTTTCTAAAATTTTGGCAAATAGATTAATGCAGGTTATGAAGGATTTAATTCATAGTGATCAGTCTGGATTTATAAGAGGAAGATATATGAAATACAATGTAAGACAAATCCTTAACTTAATTGAGTATTTGGATAAAAATAATCAGATTCCTGTGGCTTTTATATTTTTGGATGCTGAGAAGGCAGGCAAAATATTTATATAGGAATTGCTTCTGTGCTACTTCAAGTACAGAAAATAACATGGCTTTGCTACGTTCACATAGCTTACAAGATATAATATTAAGATACAATATAGTTTGTGTCTTAACTGTTACATAAAGCCAACTAATTGTGATTATCAAATACAATAAGTATTGTTATTTAGCAAAGCATGTTTAAAACAAATGTTGCTTAGCTTGATGGATGAACTTAATCTGCAACAAATAGCATTGCACATGACTACTACAATCCTAGATTAAAGCTATATGAAAATTAGTCTAGAAATTAATTTCTAATTGATCTTTCCTTTAATAAAAAATGTTCTTCTATTTCTAGGAGTTCATCCGCTTGCTTTCAAATTATTCACATATATACAGTCTATTTTAAAATCTAATTGGTGAGAGGTAATTAAATTGCATGTGAGTGTTTCTAAAATACATGTTTCAAAGACTCTGCCCCCATCAGCTGTTGGTATGCAGTACTATTGTATTTTCCCAGAATCAGTTAAGCCCTTGCGTCACAATAGGTACAATTCATATGAATAACATATAGCTTCACTTGAGAAGAACAAGAGGAGAGACAATAGTGAAGTATTCTCATATGCCTATCAACTTGGGATAAATTAAATATTAGAATTGAGCTCAGAATGCAAAACGTAGCATGCACTACAGCTTCACTTCAATAATCAACACCTGTTCTTTGGACTACGATAACATCTGATTCCCAGAACGCTTTCAGTTCAAATGTGATTTGATTCGACCAAAAGCAGCAGTGACTTCCTTGTTAAAAGCATCATGCATGGACTTTCCTTACCATGTAAAGACATAGGAACATAACGACAACTGTGCTGATTATTCTGCTGGGGAATTTAAAGTAGGGGTCCCATTGATATAACTTTCTCTTAATCCAGTTTTTCTGGGGATGCCTGTAGATAGATAATAATATAAGGGGGTTAAGTAACAAACAAACAAAATCAGGTCATTCTCCAAAACTACTTTGCATGAGATAGAAGAAAGCCCATTTCCTTTCTTTCTCTAAATTTGAAACTGTCAAAACTTTGCCTATTTCTATGAAAAGAACCCTTATTGTGAGGGCCTTTATCCCTCTATGTGGCTGAACTGTGGACAGCAATAGCAATAGGACTTAGACTTTTATACCTCTTCACAGTGCTTTACAGCCCTCTCTAAGCGGTTTACAGAGTCAACGTATTGCCTTGAACAATCTGGGTCCTCAGTTTACTGACCTCGGAAGGATGGAAGGCTGAGTCAACCTTGAGCCGGAGAGGATTGAACCCCTGGCAGTGCACTCTAACCACTGCACCACCACGGCTCTGGTAAGATTATGAGAATATATGAATGAGAACAAAAACAATGACAGAATATGGGTGATCAGTGCTCTTCCCCCCCCCCCCCAAACTGCTTTTGCACAGTGTCTCCATTTGTGAACTTTCCTGCCAGCTTCCCACAAGCAAAGTCAATGAGGAAGCTGATAGGGAAGGTTGCAGGTTGCTCTGGTAAGCCACTCCCATCCTCCCCTTCACAGGCCACTCATCCATATTCACCCTCCCAGCAAAAGCCACCTAGCCCCACTGCCCTCGTACCATACCTTGCTTGCTGCTGATCTAATTTTGGTGGATTTGGGCCTCCCATAACAACCTGCAATCCTCATTTAATGATGGCAACGGGGAGGGCTCGGATTGTTGTTGCTAAGCGATGCAATCACTTGATATCATGCTTTACAACCACATGACATAGGGATGAAAATTCCAGTCCCAATTACTGTCATTAATTGAGGACTACCTATAAACAGCATTGTCAAAATATTTCTCTGTTCATCAAAATGTCAACAAGAATCAAAGCATCAGGACAACATGTCACTTTGTCGGCAAGATTTTATGGGTTTTGCTGAGGATCCCAAGGGTTCAAAGGTTAACATACTTATTCCAGGGTAAGCTGGAATAAAGCTGTCTTACGCTTACAGTCCATTTTCTTACACGCATACATGTATCTGATGGCTATACTCAATCAAATCTTAAGTCACAGTTAACCATTAGGGATCCATGAGATTCTTAGATGCTTTTCAGCTAATCTTATCACTTTATGGAATATGAGCCTAGCTATTCCTCTGCTGACAGAAGGATTTTGCATTGAAAAAAAGAAAAAAGAATGATCAGAATATGTCAAAGAAATATGCTTCCAAGGACAAAAGGACCTCACCTAAACTCAGGCTTTCTCAGCAACTGCTGGACATACTGCAACTGGTGTTCTTCCATAAAAGAAGCTTTCTCCTGTATTGTAAATATAGTGTCTTTACAAACCAGGAATTACAAACCTAGCACATGTGCATATGTGTGTGTGTGTGTTTATTTTTAGGGACTGAAAAAAACAAATTGGACACATAATATTAACCTAGGTTTATTTCTGCTACTGCATATAATTGACAAAGAGCCTGTTTAGACCACTGCAAATAATGCAACATGCCTGGTTGAACTGTTATTCAGAGCACATCAAGTGATTTAATACACTTCTTCTGCTTTTAACTGAGAACTCCAGAAGGTGTCGTGGAAATAGACTTTAAAACAAAAGACGGCAGCAATGGAAATCAAGAACAGAATGAGTGGATTTTTTAAAGATCCTACAGGCTTATGGATGTGATTATATTATTGAATAAAAACACTGGAATGGATAATACTGGATTATAACTGTGGGCAGCCTTGCAATAATTGGTGTCTCGTCTTTTCTGCTTCTTCACAGTGCTTTGCTATCATCTGTGTCATGCTTTTCTGTTCAAGGCATTGTTGAAAGAAAGCAGGTGAACATTTTGGATATCCTTGCAAATACTATAGTATAATAACACATACTGGCCTTATTTCAATGTCTCCCAGTCCACATGACCAACACTGATCTATAAGGCTGGGGAAACAGTCAAGAACTGGGGAGTATGGTTAAATCTTAGAAGACATGATGATACCTGATTATGGAAGTCAGCTATTAAATCTTCCAGAAATGTGAACGCTTTTGACCAAATTTGAAATGTTACCATTTTCATCATTAAAATACTGGTTTTAGACTAGGGGCAGGCAACCTTGGCTCTTTTATGACTCATGGACTTCAACTCCCAGAATTCTGGGAGTCATAAAAGAGCCAAGGTTGCCTACCCCTGTTTTAGACAGAGGAATGTTTAATTATTTTAACTTTAGTTACCTTAATCACAACTAGTAATTAACCACAACTCTACTTCTCTAGGCAGTTAATAAACCTAAATAAAGCCAGAAACCCATAACATTTATTAAAAATGGTGAAACTAGCAGATAACTAAATGTGTGGCAGGTGAAGCATAATCTCCATTTCCAAAGTCTTGTAGAAGCAACCATCTTTTAACTGCTTTTAAATGGCCAAAATAGTGAATAAGAAAGGCATATAATTACCAGACATGTTCTTATTTCTTAAATCAGTGAGTCTGATTTAATATTCACAATTATTTTGCAATCCTTTTTCTAGGTTTGTCTTTGGTATTCAATTGCCTTTAAAGAACTTTCATTTCATGGGAGTACAGTCAAATAATCCAAATGAAATTATTAAAAGAGAGGACTTCAATGGCTACTATAAATACTTACATCTCGGCTGTATAGACATGAAATTCTCACTGCGTTCACAAAATTAAAAAGAAAACGTCCCAGCAGAAGGAACAGGAACAGCAAGGATGGCCACATCAGAATTATGCCACTGAACTTTCCCACAGCCTATGCATGAAAAGCAGAATTACCAACTATGTTGCAGATGATCCACTCTTCTTCCTTCCCTATATAAATTCAACTTAATTTATGCAATTTAAAGCTTGTCATGAGGTTGGGTCTTAGGGAAAGGCTGCTGTTCATTGGCAAAGGCCTAGTTTGTTTTAATCTTGTGGTCTAATGGGAAAGATCCTGCCAATTAGCTCAGATAATAACAAGCTGATGGACCAGTGACCTGTCTTTATGTAAACTCAGCTATGGAGGACAAATTTACAAATGAAAGGGTGTACAGCAGCTTTGACAAATCTGGGAACCTCAAGATTTGTTAGATTAAAAACTCCAATCTCTTTCAGCCAGCATAAGAGAAGACATGCTACTGATAGATATTGGAAATTGTAATCTAATTCATGTAGATTCAAAGTTGGATCCAACATGGCAGTGACAACTTAACTAGGCTGCCTCGCTGCAGTCTCACCATCTGGGACGGGGTGGGTGGGTGACCGCCTAGTGGATCCAATGAGCCGGATCACATGCCTCCGCCCCCACATGCCTCTGCCTCCGCCTGCCACTTAAAGTGCCGGCCCAATGGCCTCAGCACTTGAAACCACCTGCGCTGTGCGGGCCAATGAACAGCCAAGGGGCCAACAAGCTGCAGCTGCTGCCAAGCACTGCCAGCCTCTATGCGCACACCACCTCCTGTGCGCACACCCAGGCGGAGTGCCTGGCCAGGCTGGGGTGGGCCAGGGCTGAAGCAGCAGGGGCTGGCCCCTCACCATCTCCAGGGCAGCCCAGTGGGCCAGATTTAAACCTGTCACGGGCTGGATGGGGCCCATGGGCCTTGAATTTGTCATTGTCTGCCTTAAGTGAGCCTGCAATCACCATATTAAAACAGTAATAGTTGTCAAAAATAAATACTTACATCATCGTCAGGGCACTCTATAAGGTCTAAGATCGTGATAGCTGTCCTGAAAAATACATGGAGTTATTAGTTTCTAAATTGGCGGTAGAAACTATAGAATACATACATGCATATTTGTACTATTTGTTAAGCCAAACTTTTGATGCATCATATACTCATTACTTTCACAGTTTCTTTGATTTCTATGTTATTGGCGAAATTTGACTGGAAAAAATTAGGTATTAACAGCTAATACAATTGGAAAGTTCTGTTTGGAAAAGGTTGTTCTTGCATGAATGCAGATCTTCATTGGCAATGGTAAAGTTCTAATATTAAAGGCTATCTTTACCCCTTTCCTTGAGAGGCACGATGGCTCAGTAGCTTAAAAGATGCGAGAGAAGGTCTATATACCCTGGCTGTTCAAGTCCTAGCACCACGTGACGGAATAAGCTCCCATCACTTGCCTCAACTCCTGCCAATCTACGGTAGCAGTTTGGGAACATGCAAATACAAGTAGATGAACAGATACCCCTTCGGTGGGAAGGTAACAGGGCAGTCTGATTCTCAGGTTTCAGGGCAGAGAAAGTAAAATGCAGATCTGGAGGTATTGACAGTACCTAAAATAAATTATTAAGGATTTTAACTTTATAGCAAATAAGAAATGAGAATAGTTGTTCCATCTATTCCAATTATTTTACTGATATCCAAGAAAACTTATACACATTTAGGCATGTAATGACTATAAACTGAGAACAACTCTGGAGCTCACATCAAATTCTGATATTCAGAATTGTTTATTTCAAAGTTTCCCTTCTCCGGATTTGTAAATTTTAGAAATACAGTTATTTAGATTTTTTTTAAAAACTAACCTATGCGTTAATCTCTCTGCTTCACAGTTTATTGTGGTTATTTCTGGAAGTTAGGATCTGGAAGAATGTCCACAGTTCTGCTCACCTGAAAAGTCATTTCTAGATAATATTTTTAGTATGAAATCACTTTATTATAATTTCCCCTGTTATATCAAGAATTGATTCCCACTTCTGCTCTGAGACTCACTCTCATTCATGAGTCTTGTTAAAATTCTGCTTACCAAGCTGCTGTGTAAAAAAATCCCAAGACTGCTCCTACAACTTCATATTTTGTTAAAAGACAGACAAAGAAAGGGTATGAGGAGAGGCCCACTTCAAAAGCCATGACGATGACCCAAAACACTGCAGAAGAAAGGACATAAATATATCTTTATTCTGTTGTTGAGCAGTGAATGATTGAGAAACTTTTTTATGATAGCCACTGACCAACCAATATGGAATTACAAAGCGCAGGGAGTTAACAACAGTAGTAAGACAACATGTAGTGATATTAGCTCTTTAAACTTTTTGCTGAATTTTATACACCACAAAACCATTTTTGCATCATTTAGAGAAACGGATGGGTTTTTGTCAGAAAATAAATATTTCAAACAAAAGAAATCTCAGTACACTCTGAGAATTTTATTAATAGGGTTATGAGGTAAAAGTGGATATTTTTGTAACACTGATAACATAAAAGTCATACACTGTGGTTTCAAGCCTCTAGTGCCTGAAGGATAATGCCTAGCCACTTAAGGAATATTCCTAAATCTCCTCCCCATTAAGCAGTATGATGGGGAGTGTTAAAGCAAGTTAAAGATAAGGCTCTTACGAAATTTGGAGGTGTAAATTGACATAGATATTGGGCTGGTCTTACGTGTAAAAGTTGATGATTTGTATACATTTCTCTAGGGGGAAGAGACCTGTTATATTTGGCTTTCTGTAGCTAATATCCAACATCTTTACTCGGCATTCTCCAATTTCATCCTCAAGAGCACATCTCTAGAGCAATCATCACCATTCCATTTCTAATGGAGTGATCTTTTCCATTTTGAACTGAAGTTGACAATTAATCAGACCAGATCCACCAGGTAAAAGGATAAGCTTAACCGATAAGTAAACATTTTGAATCAGATAAATGTTCTCCAGTAATTCCAGCTTTCTGAACAAGTACTATGTTTGCAACTTGAAAAATATGACATAGAAATCTGTTTCATAGGCTGTCTAAAATGGCAATGTTAGTTATATGGTTCCAACTGGACATGAGCTTTTAGCTACAAATAACTTTAATGTTGCAGGTATAAACTATATGCCTCTCATGAAATGAAAGGATTTTTCAATTGATGCTGAATGGTATTTTGAGTTACATAATCCAAATAAGCACACCCTTTTCTCATTGTCTGAAAAACCACATGAAATATTTAAAAATTTTAACATTCTTTTATATGGCCAACTAGCTGACATGTTTCATGCTTTGGGAACATTTAAAAATTGGAAAAAATTATTTTGAGGGCTGTAAATAATTGAATATTTCTCACTATTATCCATCTGTATCTCCCGGTGATATTTTTTAAAGAATTTCTTGAATGTTTGGATATTTCTCAATTTTTCCTTTCTGTTTTCTTTCTTTTTAATAATTTCTTGTCCTATCTAGAGCTCTGTAGCACTTGAAAACTTGCACACTATTTTGTGACATGGGGAGTCCTAATAACCTTATCAGCCTCCTATGGAGTGATCATCTAGACCAGCCATGTCAAACACAAGGCCCGTGGGGTGGATGCGGCCCGCAAAATGGTTTCATGTGGCCCGCGAAGCCATTCTGGAAACAGTGAGGGAACGGCCCCCGCTGCCTTGGCCCTGGCCCAGGCCAGCCTGGGGCCAATGTACAATTTTGTGGTGGCCCTCTATGCTGAAATGCATTCAGTATTAGCTCCACAAGGCCATCTAGAAACAGCGAGGAACCAGCCCCTACCGCATTGGCCCCGCCCCCTGGGTGCATGCTGGGGAGGTGTCACCCTTTGTGAGGAATGAAGAAATGGACCATGCCTTGGCACTTGCCCTGGTCCCACTCCCTTCTGCCAGAGACCCTCTGATCTGTCCCACTCCTGCCCAGGCCCCCACAGGCACCTTGACGCGAACAATGTAGAGCTGGTCATGCCCATCCAGTAGGCCACACCCACTCCATCCACGCCCACCCAGTAGGCCACACCCACCCTGGCCACACACACCCGAGGGCAACCGCAATGCTTATGCAGCCCTCAATGAATGAGTTTGACACCCCTGATCTAGACTTATTTGATGGCGATCTGACAACATAAGAGATTCATAAACACGTGCAATGGACAAGTAGCACTTAGATCCATGTAATACACCAAACCATAATATGGTTTGGCTATGGCTTGATGTGAGGCATTAATCCAGCCAGGCTACCTTTAAGCCACAGCTTAACATTATATGTGAACTAGCTCAATAGGTTACTTCAGGAAAGCATGGTTAAAAACATTTGCACTACATAATTGCATATAGTGTTGCTGGCATTTCCCTATCATGAACCCTTAACCCACTGCAATTGTAAGTTATTTGCTTACAGCTATGGCTTGACATGTTGCAAATGTTAGGGTATTATCTTCAGTTCCAAATAAGAATGCATGCTCCTTGAAACACATATTTAATGTCACGGTATTACAAGGAGAGGGGGCTTTGAAAGACTATGTATTTATACTGGGAAGGCCTTGTTTACTCTTACCATCTCTAATGCTGAGGTTGATGCTATTTACCACTGCCTTCATAATCTCTCCCCTTAAAAATCATGTTTGGCTCTAAAGTCCTGATTAAACTAATTGTCTGGAATCCAGATGACCTTAGATTAAAAAGTAGCTAAAGAGAAAAATCAGAAAATACAAAGAAAAACACAGAGTTCCTCTACTGCTCTTTTATCACTTGCTAATCATGAGTTTTACCTTTAGCCCAGGCAGGAAATCCCTCTGGAAAGTACTGTTTCCCAAAAAGAATCATGACTTTATCAGCAGTAGCACCAAATGCAAATCCCAATGACCATCGATTGCTGATTGAGCTGTCAGACTCCATTGGGCTGTAAAATAATGGAAAAAATTATTAAGACATTGAGACCCTTTCCAAACTATAGAGTTATAATAATAGTTTCCAGTCAATCTTGAACTAGTAGGGAATTACACTGGCATAAAATTACTAATCCCAATAAAGGAGAATATTTGTAGCTCAGAACTGAAATGAGGGGTCCTTGGTGCTCTCTGAGTTTGGTTGTGTGTGTTTTTTTTGTAGATGTTTCATTACCCAAACTAGATAACAACATCTGCAATAACCAAGCTCAGAGAGCACCAAGGAAATTGAAACACTTATCCTTTATCTGAGCTCCATTGTTTCTGTCCCCAGTTATTGCCTTCACTCCAAGTTAAAGAAAGTCAAAGCTTAATAATTTCTGTGCAACTTGAAGCTCTTGAATGGCATCAGTGTAAAGGAAGAAAAGTGTACTTAAACATTTGTATAGAAAATAAAAAGTTGAGTTCATTTTACATCTGAAATGATGATAAGTAAAGGCAATATCACAGAAAACAAGTGTCTCTAACGCTTGTTTGCACTGTAGATGGGTGCAAGCAATGTATACTATGGCCCTTCAGATTTATAGTTCCAGTGATGGCTTCCCATCTGGTTCGGGTTGATATGAGTCAGACCAAAACTAGAGGCCATAATTGCCTCGGATAGAAAGTGTTTTTCCTTTACCTGCTTTGGATACCATATGCTAAATAAATTACCTGCTTTGGAATAATAAAAACTGTTTTTCATCACAAAATATAAATATGTAGGAGATATTTGTCTGAATCACTTCATTTTTTATGTCAAGGGCCTAAAGGACAGCTTAGGCAATTGCAGTTTCTACTTCCAAAAGGCTACAATTCCCCAAACATGTATGTCACAGACTGCTACTCAGGAACAGCCAGCAAGTATTGTGCAACTCACAGCAGTAACCCACAACGTTTTGGACATTTGGGGTATTTGTCATCAAACCAAAACCTTTTTGTTCTCTTTTCAAGACAGGCAAGGATCAAAATGATGACAACCTGTAGGAACAAAAAAAAAAGTGTGATTAATATTATGAAGAACTGTCATGAACCATAATGAAGGCATCAATAAATCTTTAATATAAAAAGTATTAAGGTACCCAACAATTCAGAGCTGGATACATGTTTTACCAGCCAATGCAAATCAAAACGAGGTCAGAATTCTGAGCAAGAATTCATTCTTCAAATCTCCTCCCAGATCCACCCAGTAGAATAAATATTATGTTGCCTAGTGCAGGGCTTTTCAACCAGTGGTACGGGTACCACCTGTGGTACATTGGCACCTGGCAGGTGGTAGGCGGCCATACTAGAAAAGTGGTAGTGGGGGAGGGGAATGAGCTGAACCGCACTGCACAAGCCTGAGAGAGAGATGGCTGGAGCTGCAGGGCTCAGCGGAAGCCCCAGGATCAGTGCCACTTTCCAACTGATCGGCACTTCTTCGGGACTGTCAGAGCTCAGTGGAAGTGCCAGGATCAGTGCCAGGATCCAACTGGAGCTTGGTGCTGATCCTTGCGCTTCTGCTGAGCTCTGAAGAAGCACTGATCAGCTAGAATGTTGCAATATTTCCAGGGTCTTGTGATTTACATTCAGATGCTTGGCAACTGATTCATATTTATGACCGTCACAGTCTCCCAGGGTCATGTGAAGTGACCAAAACCTGCTGCAAACACCCAGCAGATGGGGGGGAATAAGAACCAAACACCCCTCCCCATCCAATCCTCAAAAGAAATGCTCACAACAATGAAAACCTTGGACAGGAGGAAGAGCGCCACCAGGTGGGCAGGCAGATGTCTTGCTCGGCTGTGGCTTGGGGGGCACTTTTTTCAGTGCCATTGTAACTTCAAATAGTCACTAAGCGAACTGTTGTAAGTCGAGGACTACCTATACTTTATCACTTTTTTCCCTTTTTGGGGGGGGGGCAAGTTTTTGACACCTTGCTGGTCGACTGGTGGTATTCGGATATTGCCATATCCTAAAAATGGTACAATGGGTGAAAAGGTTGAAAAGCCCAGGCCTAGTGCCTTGGATAGATAGAGAATTAAGGGCTTTGATAAGTCCATCATCATTTCTCCCCTGCATCTGCTGTAAAGTGGGAGAGTTCTGCTTTTCACATTTGTAAACACAAACAACCACATGTTCCTTTGTAAGTTTGTTCTTGGGCCAATAAAGCACGTAGATAAATGCAAGTTTTGCCTTGTCCCAAACGCAGCCATCCTCAATCCAATACTTACATATGTGAGAGTCAGTTTGGTATAGTGGTTAAGGCACCAGGCTAGAAAGTAGAAGATCATGAGTTTAAGTCCTACTTTAGCCATGAAAGCCAGCTGGTTGACCTTGGGCCAGTTCCTCTCTCTCAGCCCAACCCTCCTTACAGGATTGTCATTGTGGGGAAAATAGAAGGAGGAAGGATTGGATACCTTTGCCTTCTTTTGTTATTTGTAAAAATAATAAAGGTGGGATACAAATAAATAAATAGACATAGATATTCATTAAATAACGGATCCCCTCCTCTACAGTTAGATCTTTTTTGCTGAGAATAATGGGAATTGCATCTGGATTATGCATCCAGTGTCTGCCAGTTTTGGAAATGCATCTAAATGGGCTTCCTCCAATGTATCTAAGGATGCATTCATCAGTCAGGAGAGTCCAAGCAGTCAGTGGTTGTCAGATTATTGGTCTACTTACTGATGGAATAAGTGAATAATGTAGAAAATCATCCGTTTCAACTGAATCTTTACAAGTATTATTTATACTGAAAGTGTTCCTGTTAAAGAAAGAAATACGAATGTATGTTTCATTTTTAAAACTACAAACTGCCATTCATAAAACACAAGCAATCCCAGATTTTAATTTACATTTTATTTTATTTTTATTTTTACTTTATTTACATGAAGCAGATATATAGTGACAATAATATTAAATAACAAAAGAGAACATAAGAACTATTCAGTCACTGAACAAAAGGGCATGCAACTTCCATTAATTCAAGGACTGAAACAGTTTTCATATCAAGGGCCATATTCCCCAAATGATCAGAACCAGGGCCCACTCAGAGTATTTGAAAGGATGAACATATCCAAACAGATTAAAATACAATACCGTTTTGGTTCCTAACCCACACAAATAAAATGCAAAAAAGGGGGAAAGAGGGTTCCACTATAATTTTCACATGCTTTTTTCTTCAAACCTTGGGAAATCGAAATGTGATAATGCCATTGGAAAGGGCTAAAGAAAAGAAAATAGCTGGCTTCTCATATTGTGCCAAGTTTTGCATTTATTTTTACTGTGGTTTATTAAAAAGCTACATGCAATGCTAAGCCATAAATCATGATTTACAAACACTGTGGTTGGAATCATATTTCATCGTCATATTTCATAGCTAAGCTGTGAAACCTGACATTAATTTATGAAGCAAGCGCCATTTTTTGTTCTACATATTTCTGATATTTCCTTTATTATCAAATTTAGAGCCCATCAGATTTTTTACCTGTTGTGATAAGCACACTCACAAAATAACAAAATACGGAAAAGGCAAAATAAAATAATAAAAGAAATAAACTGTGGAGGAAGGAAAGCATAGCCTGAATGACTACATTAAGAGAAGCCATGAACTCTTGCTGAAAGCCACCAATCAAAGAAAGCTCTTGAAAACAACAAAGGTGAAGTCTGAATATAGAAATGAAACAATTGAAAACATTTGTTAATTGCAAGAACAAGTATGCATGGTCAATACTTGAAGAATATAGAAAAAACGGCTGATAAAAAACCCACATACAGTAGAGTTGGTGAAGATCAGAAATGCTAAAGAAAGAAACTGAATCTTTTATTTTAGTGCCTCAAGAAAAAGCTTTGCATGAAGGCGGACATTCAACAAGTACCAAACAACAGCAAATGTTGCCTTTGTAGTAAAAAAAAAAAAAAAAAAGATGATGCATTTTACCATTTGATCAATTGCAACAACAAAATTTCACAAAATTTAAATGAAGAAGCTAAAATGCTCTAGTCTTTAAAATTCAAACATTCAGACATCTGCCACATAACATCCCAGGCTTAACAATCGTTGATAAGAAAATAAATGTTGCAGTACTTGGAGACAGAAGAGAAAGAACTAGAGAAAAATCACAAAATACAAAGACCTGCAAATAGAACAACTATGGCAAAAAGGATGAGTCCCTTGGGTACAATCCCTAAACATCTGGAGCACCACTTGAACATCATCAGCATTGACAAAATCAACATCAGTCAATTGCAAAAGGCAGCTTTATTTGGAACAGCTTGCATCCTGGGACAATAGCTTTAATACAACGAGCAACATCTTGCCTATCCCAGGTCCTTGGGAAGGAATCAATAGGTGGACACAAGTATCAAATCCAAGTCTAAATATCTGGCTGTGTGACCAACAACAAAAATAACAACAAATAGTTGTCCATGGAAGGTCTATCTATTCCCAGATAGCTGCCATGATAAGCATGCACTCATTTATTAAAAATTTATTTCAAACATCTGGCTGATTAAACCAACCTTAATAATACTGGTCCCTTAGTGAGGCACTACTTCACAATGGTTCTGGGGTTTGGATGCTCCCAGAAAAATGAGAGGTTCAACCATACTGGACAGGTTTCATCTAGGAGACAGTCAAATAATGTCTTTCCCATAAACAATACGGTGAAATGTAACTCATAGAAATATATACTGAAGGGTCACTACCCAGGTCAACTCATTGATTGATTGATTGAATGAATGATTGATTGATTTGCTGCCCATCTCACTTCCATCTGCCTCCAATTGAGATAAGTTTGATATACATAACTTTTCTGGATATAATGTCAAGTTCAAAACAAAACACGTTTTCCATTTTTTGCACTAATCCATATGATATGGGCTCATTAAATCAGTACTTCACTTTGGCTTCACAGGGGCAAAACAATTAGTGTGGTATTAAAAAGTTCATTGCTGTTGAATGGAGTGGATATGCTTTTGAATTATAAACTAAAAACTGGAATTTAAGAAAGATATGGATTTATTTACGGAAGTAGAAAAGATACTGTTCGGAAAAACAGCCATTCCATATTTACAACCTTGGATTTTAGATGTGAATTTCTGATTTTGAACTTCCTTTAATAAAATGGAAAGACATCCTATGTTGCCAAGTTTGAACTATTTAAAAAATAGACTATATCTCACCTTTTATATGTATAGGCCAGGGGTAGGCAACCTTGGCTCTTTTATGACTCGTGGACTTCAACTCCCAGAATTCCTGAGCCAGCATGGCTCAGCTTGGAAACCTCTCCCTTTCCTCTCAACATGGCTGGCTCAGGAATTCTGGGAGTTGAAGTCCACGAGTCATAAAAGAGCCAAGGTTGCCTACCCCTGGTATAGGCAGTACTTGATGTATGATGACAACTGGGACAAGAATTTCCATTGCTAAGTAAGGCAGTTCTAAGTGAGTAGCACTTTATTTTACATCCTCTTTTGCCTCCATTGTTGAGCATATCACTGTACAGTTGTTAAGTGAATCATGCAGTCACTAAGTGAACCCAACTCTCCCCCACTGACTTTGCTTATAGGAAGCCAGCTGGGAAGATTGCCAATGGCAACCACATGACCCCCCCCCCAGGATGTTGCAACCAAGGTAAATACATGGCGGTTGCCAAGCAGCCAGATTTTGATTACATGGTGATTGGGACGCTGTGAGGGTCGTTAAGCGCAAGGAACAAGTCCTTTTTTTTCAGTGCCGTTGTAACTGAACAGTTGCTAAACGAATGGACGTATTTCGAGGATTATCTGTAATAGTTTTTATACAGAAACACGTAGACAGAAAAAAAGAAAACTTTTCATACTTTAAAATCTCTGAGAGGAATGTAGTTTAATTCAGAATGTAGGAAGCGTACTGCCAGATGTCCAGAGTACAATGTTACTTTTATTTACAACATGTAAATGGATGAGGTTGTTATAGCAGGAACTAGCAGTTCCCTAGCTAGAAATTACCCCTGTATAGGAGCTTCCGGTGGTCAGCGACGATGATGGCGGCTACTTTGTAGCCGTCCTCCTGGGACGGCGTCAGACCTGCGGAGCACAGCGCGCATCAGCTGGCCCGCGGCTCGAAATCCCCTTCCCGGGCGAAGGGAAGGGGTAGAGACCACACGAATAGAGGTAGAACCTCTTAACCCCCCCTGGATTTTGGGGGGGGTAGAAAGAGTGTTCCCTCGGAGTTCGTGCTTTCTCCGCCTCCCAGCTGTCTTTGTTTCTTCGGAAACAAAGCGAAACGCCGCTACCATCTCCGCGCTTAAAGTTTTCTGGTGAGTGAATTTTAAAGCGGACAGAACTGTTTAAAGGATTTTACTTAGAGTTAGAGTTTTATTTCTTTTCATTTCTCTTTTAGTTTATGCTGATTCTTTTTTCTTTTGTTTTTTTTTTTTTGTTTTTGGTGGAGAGTGAGAGTGAAAGTAAAATGGCGTTTTGAAAGTGCTTTTTTTTTTCCTTTCCGGAAAGAAAGAACGGACTTAAATGAAACGTATGGATAGCACTGTTTTTTTTCTCTCTTAAGTTTCTTCTTTCCTTTTTCTTTTAAAGTGCTTTGGAAGTTCTTTTTTTTTTTTTTTGCACTCTCCCTAGTCTTTTCTTTTTTTAATTTTAAGGATTTTACTATCCTTTTTTTTTCAAGAAGAAAGAAAGAGAGAACAAGACTTTTAAAAAAATGGCTTCAAAGAGACAACCAGCTTCTATAGTCTCTAAGGTGATTTCTTCTCCTGCAATTGCAACTGTACAACAACAACTTAAAGTTACACCACCAGTGCTGCAACCTAAGGTTACACCTCCATCTTCTCCTCCCTTGCCAGGCTTGTCTGCACAAGACATTAAAGATATAATGGGAAATGCTGTATCTCAAATCAGGGAGGAAATGAAGCAACTTCTTGAACAGAGCAAGTCTGAAAGTAAAGAGGAAATGAAGGACCTCTTTAAACAGAACCAAGATCTTCTTGAACAGAATAAATCTGAAACTAAAGAGGAAATGAAGGAGCTTTTAGTGGAGAATAATATTATCTTGAGGCAAGAAATAGTTACAGCTTTATCAGGACTGGCTTCTGTGGTCGTGAACTTGTATTTTAGAGTGGAAGACGTTGCAGAGAAAGTAGACCTCCTTGAGTACAAATTCCAAGATATGGAAAAAAAGATGGAAATTTCACAAGAGGATATTCTTATGTCTCAGTATAGGCAAATGGAATATGCTTTGAGAATTAGGGATTTTAAAGAAGACATGAATCAAGACCTGATGGAGATGGTGATTAATGATCTAGCTGTTGTTCTGAATAGGGATAAAGATGGATTACGTAGAGAAGTGGAAAAAATTTACAGAGTTAATTCTTGGATTGCGAAACAAAAGAATTTGCCAAGAGATGTGGTGATTTACTTTGCAAAGAAGTCTCTGCGTAATGAGATTATACAAGCTTTTTATAATAAGAGGTTCCAGATTGCTGCCCAAGATGTCATTATTCTAAAGGAAATCCCATCTAAAATTTTAAGAAATAGAAAAGATTTTGCTTTTTTAGCTAATGAACTTAAAACAAGATTGATGCCATTCAGATGGGAGATTCCGATGGGTATAGTTTTGAGCCATGCGGGGACACGTTACAGACTTAATACGGTTGCCAAAGCTAAAGAATTTTATAATACGGTCCTGGGAGCAGGCTCATCTTCATCTATGATTCAGAAAGCTCTGGGCGGCAAAGAGGTGGAACAGCAGTCTGAAGGACTAGGTTTGAT